CTTCGCGTAGTCAATAAAGCATAGGTAAACATTCTTCTGGTATATTCTCTGCTTTCAGCCAAGATCCATCGGACATCAGCAATGATATCTCTCGTTCCACGGACTCTTCTGAATCCAGCTTGAACCTCTGGAAGTTCTCTGTCAATGTATGATTGTAGCCGTTTCTGTATTACCTTTAGCAAAACTTTATTCGCTTGAGATTTCAAAGAGATTGTCCGATGATTTCCGCATTCTGTTGGAACATGTGTATAGCCGTCTTTTATGTTGTTTAAAAAAGGTATTTGTAATGAAGAAGCCATTGGTCTTGCAAACTTCTATCATGCAATCTCCAGCATCGTTTCTATCACCAAGGTCATATTTTCCACCTACTGATCCTTCCTCTTTGTTTTCAACCTTTGCATTCAAATCACCAATAATTATCCATACATTTTGATTGCATGTTTGATCAATTTCAGACTGAAGAAGTTGGTAAAATTCTTCAATTTCATCATCACTGGCTTTAGCGGTTAGTGCATCAATTCGAATAATAGTGTTATTAACTGGTCTTCATTGTAAGTGTATGGATATTATGTTATCACAGACACTGTTGTGCTTCAAGACTAATTTTGATATGTTCTTTTTGATGATGAATGTGATACCATTCCTCTTCAATATGGCATAGTAAACCATATGATTGTCAGATTCATAATGTCAATACGAGACCATTTCAGCTCAATGACCCTGAAGGCACCGATGCTTATGCGTTTCATTTCATTTTTGACAATTTCCAAATTTCCTAGATTCATACTTTGTACATTCCATGTTCTGATTATTGATGGATGTTTACAGATGTTTCTCTTTATTTTGAGTTGTGCCCCATCAGCAAATGAAGGTCCCAAAGGGTTTACTCCATTCGTGTTATACTCTACTTTGAAGAGGCAGCTCTCTTCCAGTCAACAACAGAGGCTCATCTTCCAGCACCATTTCTGAGATAATTCATTCATGTTTTAATATTCAATATTCTAGTGATGACAGTATTCCACTGCTATTCATAGGGTTTTCAGTGACTAAATTTTCAGAAGTAGTCCACCTCTCCTTCTTCCTAGTTTGTCTACGTCTGAAAGCTCAGCGAAACTTGTCCATGGTGGGTGACCCTGCTGGTATTCAAAATACCCATGAGATAGATCCCAGAATCATAGCAACACACAAGTCACCACAGTACAACAAACTGACAGATGAGTGGTGGGACTTCACCTTAGGTAGTGTGAAATGTAAATGAAAACATCCTCAGCATTATTTTATAAGTAAAAAGGACAATTTATATTATTTTCCATAAGACTTGATATAAAACTATGGATTCTAAGAAATGTCAGGATTTTAATGAGCAGAACAAGAGCCTTTGAATGTTTTTTGTCCTTTTCTATGGAGAAAAATGCTCTCATGAATACACTAGAAAAATAGAGGTAGTTTTGCTTAGAAAAGTTCTGAGACCGAATTCAGGCTCATTCATCCATGTGGGGTCCCCTCCCACATATGAGAACACAGACAAGCAGCTTCCTCTTTCTCTGGTATTTCCTATGGCAGATTAGGGCTGGGTGGTGTGTAGATCACAGGAATCCAACACTGTCAGCTCCCCTTCACTTCTCTCCTCTTTGTTGTTTTTGTTAAGTGCTGTAGAGTCGATTCTGACCCATAGCGACCCTGTATAGGGTTTCCAAGGAGCAGCAGTATTCTACCCGTATCTTTCTTTTTACCATATTCTGACAAAATTTAGTCTTCCAGGAACATTGACTGAGGTACTGCGCTCCAAATTACTTATGGGAATACTTTTTACATTTTGGGAGTATAGCTCTCCAAGAAATTTCCATTTGGGATTACAGATAAAGAGACTATTTGCGAGGGATTTATATAAAGAATGAATTTGGAAAGATGAGGTTATGTTTTAAGGATGAGTCAATTTAGTGTACGAAATTTGCTGTCAAATTTCAGTAAAGAAAATCTCTAGTGGCCTCATGTTCTCATCTATAAAAGGAAAAATAATAATGCTTAATTTGCCCAGTTACTTCAAGATTTTTGTTTGTCCATAAAAATACGGAACCTCGCCTCTTGCTGTGAAAAGGTTTATAAACCAGTGAAATGTAGTGAAGATATATACATAGTAAAAGGCTCAATAAATCTTATTATTTTATTGTTTAGAATTAGAAAGGTGGAGGGAGACATGAAAGTGGTTTAGAAATAGCTAAAGTGCTCCGTAAATTCTGTCAAAACCCGAGACTATAGAGGTGGACTGAGGGATTTCAGGAGCTTGGTTTCGAAGTTACCGAACTTCCCCATAATTAGGCCTGAATCTTCAGAACAGAACATAAAAGGATGTCATGGCTGAGATCATCTGTTACAATTTATGCAAATCTAAAATTCTCGCCGAGTGTCACTGTGTTTCGATGAAAAACATCACCGCCACCCCAGTATCCAGTCTTAGTCCCACCTATGTGACGTCATACCCCCCGCTTTGCCAAGCTTCTGTACGTCGAACGTCTAAGCTACTGTCAGAGGCCTTGGTTCCAACAGCGACTGCGCAGTACGGAGCTAGTCGGGGGTGGGGGGCGCGGACGCGTGCGCGCTGCGTGAGGGGCGGGGTTAGTGCGCACGCTACCACAGCTCCTTCCACGCCCTTTTTCTTCCCGGTTTCTCCGTCAGCTTGCCTGGCTTGTGTGGCAGCTGCTTCCGGCTGGAGCTCAGTGCAGCACGAACGGGTCTCAGCTCCTTGTCATGTCCTACGGTCCCTTAGACATGTACCGGAACCCAGGGCCCGCAGGGCCTCAGCTCCGGGACTTCAACAGCATTATCCAGACATGCAGTGGCAACATCCAACGGATCAGCCAAGCCAGTGAGACGGGGGACTGGTTTGGGGGGCGGGAACCGGGGGCGTCCCGGGACAGGCCTGGTGAGGCTGCCGGTACGCGGAACCGAACCAGAGCCACGACCAAAGCCACACCTGAGGCTGTGTAGGGCTCTCCACTTTGGGGCAGCTGGGCTGCCATTCCCAAATCTGTCGGGCCCGACTCCTTAGGGTCTCGAGCCCCAGCTGAAGCTGAGTTTCTTCTTAGGAGTCCTGGCCCCGTGGTGCTGGGGCCGAAACAGCAGATCTGACAGCTGGAGGTTTGTGTGTGTGTGTGTGTGTGTGTGTGTGTGTGTAGCCGACTAACCTGGAGAGCAGTGAGTGCGTTGACTTGGCGCATTGGTCACCCGCTTTCCAGCCACCCATCTCGCTTTCTTCTTGGGTCAGTTTGGATCGGAGGTTGTTTCCTGATTTCGGCTTTAGGTTTACATTCTGTTTAGTCACTGACTCCCCGGAAATCAACGACTTTAAATTAGAAGAAGTGGCTAGTGCATGTATTTCGGGTGACTTAATACATACTTCTTTCTGTAATGACTTTAGGAGTAAGATTCCTGTTTAAGAAAGATTCGCCGAAAACATTTCATTTTACTTAATTTTGTTTTTCTGTAGGAAAGGATTTGCATCTATTTTTGAATTTCAGTCACATGAGGCTTTTATTCTTGGCATTTACCTAGTCTTTTGAACAAACATGATGAGACACCCAGGAACTTAACCACAATCACATAGCAAGTAAGACATGGCAGAGTTAGAGGTGGAATTCAGAATGTCATTGTTTGTCCTAAAACTCCCTCCTCACCTTTAGGATCTGAGTGCAGCTGTAGCAGAGTGAGTTAAATACATTCTATATCTTGTGCCTGAAAATCAGCTGCTAGACTTACAAACAGGAGGTCAGCAGCAGCAACTTTACTTGGCACAATGATTGTTATCATTGTTACTACTTCGTTTTTGTGAACTTGGCTGTACACTGTTAATAGATAGAACTAGTTGGTCCAATTCTTTTCTGTATTTTAAAAAATAAACTATCACTTTTTTTTTTCCTTCTATCACTTTGCTTTTAAATTTAAATGAGTGATGTGGAACTTGAAAGACAGAAAATTTCTAATGGGAAAGGATTGGGAAGTAGAAAAAAGAATATATATTAAACCCAGAAATAAAAAATAATGATAATCCACTGACTGTAGCACTGTGGGTTAATGTGCAGGATTGCAAGGTTGGTTTGAACTGTAAGGTTGGTGGTTCAGATCATCAGCTGCTCCCCGGAAATCCTATACATGGTGGCTATGAGTCGGAACTTAGAGCAACAACTGGCTATAAAGCTCCAATTTTTTCCTATCAGGAAGCAGTAATACAGGTTAGACAGAAAATTCATCAGACTAAGTAAAAGTAGAGGAATTGGCACAAATTCTTTGCCCAGGGAGCCTATGGAATACATATACAACAAAATATGAAGTTGAAAGGGATGAGTGTTGTAGAAGTACAAATACTACATGTAGGTGTATTCAGCAGAGAGAGACAGACCATTTTTTCTTCTCCATGTAGGTATTTGAGCTAGGTCTGGAAAGATGGTGGAAAGAATTTGGAGTTTTGAAGGTAAAGAGGGGAAGGGAGTAAAATGAATAATAACAGCACAGTAATGGGCATGCCTTGGGATGTATGAAGAAAAGTTGAGTGATTCAATTTGGCAAGAGTGATGGACTCAGTAAAGTAATAGGGGTGGAAAGAGAAGTTGAGGCCCAAACATGAAAGGCTTTACATGCTGGGTTGAGGTGCTTGGATTTAATTCTCTATTAACGTGTAAACTGAACTGGAAGAGAGAAACTGAAAATCAGTGTGAGAATGAAAAGAAAAAGGACAGGAGAGGCTTCCTTGGAGATGGAACTGATAAGACTTACTAGTCCCTGGGTGATGCAAATGGTTAAACACCCCACTACTAGCTGAAAGCAGTCCTGGTGTGTCACTGTAGGATAAGCACTAGACTACTAACCTTAAGGTTAGTACCTCAAACCCACCAGTTGCTACTTGAAAACCCTATACAGGGTCGCTATGAGTGGGAACGGACTTCATGACACTTAGTAACGACAACACTAGCAGAAAGAGTGTCAATTGGAACCCCTCCAGAGGGACCCCAGAGAGCCTGATAATCTGCTTTTGAAAGGTCACGACCTTGAAAACCCTGTGAAGCATTTCTACATTGTACGCATGGGCTCGCCATGAGCCAGAACCAATGTGGCAGAAACTAACAACAGCAGCAACAGCATTTGATTGGGCATTAGATTCAAGGGACCATTAAAGTCAACCATTAATATTAGCAGCTAACATTTATTGAGTACATGCTGTATTCCAGACAATTTGAAAGATACTTTAACTTTATTGTTGTTGTTTAGTGCCTTCAAATCGGTTCTGACTCATAGCAAACCTGCATAGCATTTCCCAGGAGCAGCTGGTGGGTTTGCTCCGCTAACCTTGTGATTCACAGTCCAGTGCTGATCCTCCATTATCACACCAGGAGTCTTCAGGAGTCCAGGGTACAGTGTAAGAAAGGTTAAATAATTGCTTAGCTAATAAGTTGTTGTTAAGTGACATCAAGTTGGTTCCGACCCTACAATCCCTTAATTTGAAACCAGGTCTGTCTTTTATGATCAGGTCATCCAAAACCTACTGCCACTGAGTCGATTTCCACTCCTATCAGCCCTATAGGACAGAGGAGATCTGCTTCATAGGGGCTCCAAGGCTGTAAATCTTTATGGAAGAAGAGTGCCACAGTTTCTCTTTCAGAGTGGCCTGTGGCCTTAAATTGTTGACCTCTGGTTAGCAGCCCAACATTTAATCCACTGCGCCACAAGGGCTCCTCCTTATGACCCACAACTAGCCTTTTTGTAACTGTTAAATTACTACTAGAGTTCTATAGCAGTTAGTACTTTTGTATACAAAGTGTCTTGTTTTTCTGAAGCTGTGAAGCTTTCTGCTATTTGCTTATGTGCTATGTCTATCTTCCCTGTAGATTGCTAGCCCCTTTAAGGCAGGGGGCATGACTTACTCATCATTTTATTCCTAGTACTTATCTCAGCCCCTTTTAAGAGCCCTGGTGGTACTATAGGATAAGAACTGGGCTGCTATTCACAAGGCAGTGGGGTTTTGGTTTATCTCAATCCCAAGCATATGCTGAGATTCATTCATTCACCTATGAGAAAAATATTCTTTGAGCATCAACTGTATGTCAAACATTATTCTACGTGCTAGAGTTAGAGGGATGAGGAAGATGAATAAAGTCTTCCCCTGATACAAAGTGTGTCTATGGGTGTGTGCGTAGTCTTGGTGACATAACAGTTATATGCTCAGTTGCTAACAGAAAGGTTGGTGGTTTGAGCCCACCCAGAAACTCCTTGGGAGAAAGACTGTAGGACAGTTTTACTCTGTTACATGGAGTTGCTATGAGTCCAAATCGACTTACCAGCATTTAGCAACAACACACATATATTTCCAAGTAATGATGCTCCTGGTGTGGTGCTGAAGGATCAGTCCTGGACTGAGAACCACAAGGTTGGCCGTTCAAACTCAACAACTGCTCCTTGGAAACCCTATACAGGGTCGCTGTGAGTTGGGATCTACTAAACAGCACTTAGCAATAACAGGTGCCTCAACGAAAACTAAAACAGTGTAAAGGGATAGAGAGTGAGGGAGAAGGAAAGTAGTGGGTATACTGTTTGAGATCGTTGGTCAAGGAAGATCTCTTTGAGGAGGTGACATTTTTGTAGACACCTGAGTGAAGTGAGGGAAGGAGCTATGTGAGAAGCTATTCTAGGCAAGAGCAAAGACCTTGGTGTGTTAAAGAGTATCAGGGAGGCCAGTGGGGCTAGACTGCAATTACAGAAGGGAAGCATAGTAGGAAAAAAAGGTCAGAGAGATAGCCAGGCATCAGACCATATACTTGATGCTTAGTAAATTATTTTTCAGTTCATTTGAATGAACAAAGTTTTGCTGCTATCTTTGAACTCTCTGTCTCTTTTTCCTTTTACTGTGTGCTACTTACCACACTTTATGTCTCCAAGCAGTTCAAATTGAAGACTTTCCTTGAGATTCTTTGGCAAGTAAATAGGAATTAGGAAATTGGAAGAATAACATTGCTTCTACCCAGTTAAAAGGCTCAAATCTATCCCTCAAACCTTTACAAGACATGGCTGGCATACCAAAGTATACCCTCTGAATGTAAGCTCAGACACATCCCACACCATACTGGCCTGCAAGGACCTGTATCCATTGAAAGTTTGAGAGAGTATCTTTTTTTCGAAATTGTTCAGTCTCAGACATGAGCCCATCAGCCGGTCACTGTGTGGGTTGTTATAGGTACAGCTAAGATTGGCTGGCTGGTATCAGTAGATGTGGGGTACAGAGGGAAAATACTTGACTTTGTTGTGAAAGGGACCGTCTGAGAAAGTGTTGCAAGATCAGTTATAGGGAACCCAATAGCCTCAAAGCTAACTAGTTTAAGAGATTAAAAAACAGCATTTCTATTCTTTTGTTGCTAATTTATTGACAGGATTTTGTTTCCTAAAATAATAAAAAGCAAGTGAACTTCTAAAACTAATTTTCATGAAATCCTATGGATTCTTCTTTCAAAGTTATTTTCATATGTGCCCCCTTTTTTATTTTTAATTCCACCCTCTTAGATCTTCATCATCTTAATACCCACATTCCAACAGCATACTTCAAGCTAGTATATCTAATGGTAGTAGTCTTTCTCTGTTCGAGTTCATCCTGATAATGCAGATGAACATATCATTGCTGTTTCTAAAATCATGTTTTCATTGTGCCATTCACCTCAAGAGCAGACCGTCACTCTGTGTCTACTGCATCAAATTTTAACCTTCCCTCTCTCTGAGATCTTAACCCAAACTAGCCAGGTTTTCTACTTCTCAGTCTTTGCAAGCTGCTTTTCTAAATGTTCCTGTTTACAGTTTTTGGCTCACTTTTTTCCTTCTTTCTTTAAT